TTTTTTTTTTTTTTTGTTCCTTCAGGGAGGGCCGCTCTAATGCTCACGTCAAAGGTGACTACCAGAGGATCGGTGACGTGATGCTAAAGAATATGTCTGCTCTCAAGGTGAGATTTCACCTATTTCCAGCTTCCAGATTTCATCCCTCTTTTTTTTTAAGTGGTACTTGATGTGAAATGTTTGAAAACGCCTGTTGCCCACCCACCCTAGGGCTTTACCGGCTACCTGCAGAAGCACGACGAGGTGCTGGCGGAGCTGGAGAAGGCCAGCAAGCGACTGAAGAAGCTGGAGACGGTCTACAAGGAGTTTGAACTGCAGAAGGTGTGTTACCTGCCACTCAACACCTTCCTGCTCAAGCCCATCCAGCGCCTCATGCACTACAAGCTCATCCTGGAGCGCCTGTGCAAGCACTACGGACCGGCCCACCGCCACCACGCAGACTGCAAAGGTGAGCGGGCGCGCAAATTGCATGGCGTAAACACACACACGCACGCATTCAGCAAGAAGTAGTGGTCGGTCAGGGCTACCAAAGTCTTCTCAGCTGGTCCAACCACTATCAGAAGCATTGACCTACATTTACAACCTAAAATCGTAATATTGTACAGTGATTCCTTGATCAAAACAATCAAATCATTTTTTGCTGATTGGAATGAATGGAAATTCCATGAATCTGGTACAGGCAAAAAAAAAAAAAAAAGATGACAATAAAACATTTTTTTGTTTTTTATTCACGATAAAATGGCAATATTTGGTGTGCAGAGGCTCTAAAGGAGGTGGCGGAGATCACGGCGCAGCTTCAGAGCAGCCTCATCCGCCTGGAGAACTTCCAGAAGCTCACTGAGCTGCAGCGAGACCTCATCGGGATTGACAACTTGACTGCACCGGGGAGGGTGAGTTGGGCTTTTGAATTGGGGTTCAAAGTTGAGATTTCACTTTCGAGTTTCAAGCCCCGGGTTAGACTGTCAAATACAAGGTTTCAAATTAGCATTCAAGTCAGGGTTTGAAAATAGTTTTATCGCTTCAAGTCAGCGTTAGGATTTGAAATTTGGGTTCGTGTTTCAAGATAAGGTTTATAAAACTTCAAACATGAGTTGTGGCTTTTGAATGACGATTTTCAGCCTGGGTTAGGGTATTAAACACAACGTTTCAAATCTCAAGTCATGTTTTGGGTTTCGAGTTGGAGTAAGTGTTGCGAGTTACGGTTAGGCTTTCAAGGTACGGTATGACTCGCTCCCTTTCTCTCTCTATGCAGGAGTTCATACGAGAGGGCTGCCTGTACAAGCTCACCAAGAAGGGACTGCAGCAAAGAATGTTCTTCCTGGTGAGGAGATCTTGACAATTCAATCAATCAAGTGATTGTAACCATCAAACCTCGTTCGTGGCCATTTTCCTTACGTTGCTTTTTGCGACTTGTACTGCGTCAAGTGTTGAACTAACGTCATTAGTAGAAAAGAGCCATTTGTACCAGCTTTTTTTTTTTGTCTTATGTTACTAATACAGTGTTGCCAAGGAAATGCCATAGCTAATGATGAGCTTATCTGAACCTTTTAAGGAACGACTTTGAACACAAATGGTTCACCAACACATGTAACAGTGCAATATAACAATACAGGCAGATATATTTATTATTCTCTGTGAAAAGCGACTAATAATACTGCTGTTCAATGAGTCACTCGAGTGGTGGTGAAACTATGCTCCATTTGTCTCGGCGTCTGTTTTATACTGCCCCCTAGTGGCCATGTCAATCACCACAGGAGGAGCCGCAATGAATTTAGCATCATGCACAAACTGTTAAATTATTTTCAGCGGTTTTCGCTGGCCATAATCATCCAGTCATGATAAAGTAATATCCACAATCAAGCCCGACAGTAATTTTGATGCGAATTCCCATGTTTTTTTTTTTCTTGTCATTTTTTTCAGTTCTCAGATATGCTTCTCTACACCAGCAAAGGCGTCACGGCAACCAATCAGTTCAAAGTCCACGGACAGTTGCCCCTCCATGGCATGATCGTGAGTATTGTTTGTATGGGGGTGGGGTAGGGGGGTGGGGGGTCGAAGG